GGAGGAGGAGGAGGAGGAGGATAGGAAGAGGAGGACGAGGAGAGAGGAGGAGGAGGGGAGGAGGAGAGGAGGAGGAGGAGTGAGGAGGAGGAGAGGAGGAGGAGGAGGAGAGGGGGAGGAGGGAGGGGGAGGAGACGAAAAGGAGCACCAGCAGCAGGGACGAACAGCGATCGACAGCGTGCCGCCAGGTTCGGCATCAGGTCGAGAGCGCCAAGGTCAGAGAGACGGGAGAGGAGAGGAGAGTGGATGTGCCCCTCCTCCTGGCCTTGGAGTGCTTTCGTCGTGCGCATCCCCTCCCAACCGTCGGCTTCGCAACGCGTATGGCTCAGGCAGAACCCCGCTCCTCCCTATCCTCCGCCTTCCCCCTCCCCCTCCCCCTCCCCCTCTCCCTCGCCCTTCCGTCCAGGGACTCTCTGCTCCTCCTCCGTGCCTGCTCCCTCCTTCTGCCGGCCCCCCCAACGCCCCCCACCTTTCCTCCTCGTTCCTTTCCTCCTCCCTCCTCCCTCTTCCGTCTCCCCGCCTTTTGCTCCTCCCCCTCGTCATACGACGCCCACGACCACGACGATGACAATCACCACGACCACGCCTGTGACCACCACAATGACCACGACCATGACCAAGACGACGTCGTCGTCGTCGACGTCGTCGTCGAAAACGACAACGACAACGACAACGACAACGACAACGACAACGACAACAACAACAACAACAACAACAACAACAACAACAACAACAACAACAACAACAACAACAACAACAACAACAACAACAACAACAACAACGACAATGAAGCCGACGCCGACGCCGACGCCGACGCCGACGCCGACGACGCCGACGCCGACGACGCCGACGCCACCGCCGCCGCCGCCGATGACGACGACGACGACGACGACGACGACGACGACGACGACGACGACGACGACGACGACGACGACGACGACGACGACGACGGGGCAGCCTATGGAAGCGGGGCCCCGGGGCTTCCGGTCCGTGTGGCCCCCGAAGTCCTCCTCCCAGAGGCCCTTGGTGTCGACGTCTGGCCAGGCCGCGGAGTCGAGCACCACCTTCGGGAGGCTGTGGGCGGGACGGGGAGGAGGGGGGGGGGAGGAGGAAGGAGGGGAGGGGGGAGGACGGAGGAGGAGTGGAGGAGGGGGAGAAGGGAGGAGGGACCGAGAAGGGAGGGGGAGGAAGAGAGGGAGGAGGAGCGACGAGAAAAGAGGAAGGAGGAGCGAGGAGGCGGGAGGGAGCGGTGTGGAGGAGGTGGCGGGTGGAGCGGGGGAGGGGGAGGTCTTCGGCGGCCTTCGTTGTTGCGGGTGGCTCTCCAAAGGGAGCGGGGGAGTGGAGGGGCTTCCGTCCTCCTCGTCCTCCTCCTCCTCCTCCTCCTCCTCCTCCTCCTCCTCCTCCTCCTCCTCCTCCTCCTCCTCCTCTCCTCCTCCTCCGTCTCGATCCTCCTCTCTTCTCCTCCATCTCGCTCTTCCTGCTCCGTCCTCCATCTCGCTCCTCCTGCTCCTCCTCGCCCAATTCGTCCCCCTAACCTCCTCTGTTCGTCTTCGCCAGGCCCAATGCCCCCCGCCCCACCCACACGCGAGCCTCCTTCGGCGCGGCGGGGCTGGCGGTGTCGGGAGGCAGAACCTGGGGAGGGAGAAAGGTACCGATACTGGTACTCCCCGGACCTCTCCGGGGATGCATTCCGACCAAAAGTGTGAGGAGGATCCAGCTTTGCCGACGAGGGCTCTCCAGGACGAGCAGCAGCATCGGTACCTTGTCGTCCTCCGAGAACCTCCTTAGGCTTCCTGTACCGCTCGAAGTTAAGGTAGCCCCGCGCGTTGAGCCTCTGCAGCAGAACGCCGTCGGCGTACACGTCAAGCGCAAGGGGGCTGAACTGAAGCTCGGCCTTCACCTTAAAGGAATAAGAAACGCTCATTTTTGTGAACAAGTCCCTGCGCTGCTTACTCTCCACACAAAAGATGTGCCCAAATACAATGTGCGGTACCCGGTGCCCATTACAACTACCCCCCCCCGGCACCCCCCTCCCCGGCCCCCGGCCCCCGACCCCCCCCCCTCCCGCGCAAGCTCGGTGGCGGAATCGCGCAGCAGCGCCACCAAATCAAAAACGGTAGAAACATTAATGTTTGGAGCTCCGCGCTTATTTCTTGGATCGGCGCGACTCCTGGCGCGCTCAGCGCGCCAGGGAGGGGGACCAAGCGCCGACCCAGGAAATGCGCGCGGACATCCACATGCTCCTATTTACTCCAGGTTCGCGTCGTGTCGACCCCGGCGTTGTTTCCTGACACCGCGGGGATCGTTCCAGCTTGAACAATCGGCCGCTTCCGAAACGCTCGATCCTTCGGCGTCGACCGACTCTGACTCGGATGGCGTTCCACGTGGAACGCTGGCGGCGGGGCCACCGCTGATCGGCACGACGCGAACCTACCGCACTCCCTGGGCCTCTCCCGCGCGACAGCGCGCCGCCCTCGGACTGGACCCCAGGCCAGGCTCTCTCTCCTCGAACGGGTCCCACCCCACAGAGGGTGGGACCCGTTCGCCCACCAGTCTTCTCGGTGACCCGCTTGGGGCCCCCGAGTTCCGGCAGCGGGTCGACTCTTGCCGACACCGATACCGAGACCTCTCCCAGGGGTGCGTCCTCGCCGGAACCTCGAGGCGAACACGCGGTCGCTGGCAGTCCAGACCCTCTCCCCCGGGGCCGCGTTTTCACCCCGGGCCGCTCTTTCGCGGTCCTTGGGCCGAGCCAGCGCCCCCAGAGGCCGAAAGAGGCAAACAACAAAAAAATAAAAAACGCCCGTCGTGACTCTTTGTTCGTGCTCGACTAGGGGAACAAAAAAGGGCATAAATACAAAAACTCGGAGGCCCGCGCGGACTTCTCGGATCCGCGCTGGACCCCCCCTGGCGGCGCCTCCGGCGCCGCCCCTGGCGCGCTCCGCGCGCCAGGGAGGGGGGTCCAGCGCGGATCCGAGAAATCCGCGCGGGCCTCCGAGTTTTTATGTTTCTGCCACTTTTTGTGCCCCCATCGACACCTCCGCGCCGCCCGTCGTCGTGAACACGAAGACGGCCTTGCCCTTCACGTCCGCCCTGCGGGCCTCGCCGGGGGGGCCGCCTCCCCCGCAGGGCACTCCTGCGCGGCGGCCGTGCCAGAGGCCGCCCCTCTCGAGCGCGGGGGCGGGCCCTCTCGAAGGAAGCGCCCCGCGGCACCCTACGTCTCGGCACGCTCGGTCGTCGTCGTCGTCGTCGTCGTCGTCGTCGTCGTCGTCGTCGTCGTCGTCGTCGTCGTCGTCGTCGTCGTCGTCGTCGTCGTCGTCGTCGTCGTCGTCGTCGTCGTAGTCGTCGTTATCGTCGTCCGTCGTCGTCGTCGTCGTCGTCGTCGTCGTCCGTCGTCGTCGTCGTCGTCCGTCGTCGTCGTCGTCGTCGTCGTCCGTCGTCGTCGTCGTCGTCGTCGTCGGCGTTGTTGTCGTCGCTGCCGTCGTCGCTGCCGTCGTCGTCGTCGTCGTCGGCGTCGGCGTCGGCGTCGGCGTCGGCGTCGGCGTCGGCGTCGGCGTCGGCCTCGTGGACACAGCTGGAAGAGGGGCAGAAGAGCATACCACGGCGCGTTCGGGTCGTGACGACACTGGCGTCGGTTTCTGACACCACGGGGGTCGTTCGATTTTGAAAGATCGGCCTTTTCTGAAACGTCAGAACGTTCAACATCGACCGATTCTGAGTCGCTGGCGGCGTTCAACGTTGAACGCCGGCGGCGGGGTTGCCGCTGGTGGACTGAGCGTACACAGCCGGAACAGGGGCAGAATAACATCTTTTCTCATCGCACCAGCAACATAATCTTTGCTCGCGCGCATGGCGCTCGCATTACGAGCCAAGTGAAAATAAATCGCGAAGCAGTTCCGCAACTCCGCAATACAGGCCCAGAGGAGTGAACGCCGATGCTGTACTATGCAGCGCAGTACCTCCCTTGCTGGAACAGAGGTAGAAGAACAGACTGCAAGAACATATGTTTTGGCCTTATCGGCAACACCACAGCGAGGTATTTTACTAGCAGTGTGGGACCTGCTGGAGATGGCTGCAAGCAACAAGAAACACGAACTGCAGTGAAGAAGCACTTGCCAGGGAGCCAGGAGCGAAAACCAGAACAGAGCATGGACAGGGGGCTGGCGTCAAACCGAGCACAACATGGGGCGAAGACAGAGGACGGCAATGCTACAAGAACATGAGCCACTCCTCCAGCGAAAAGACCCAATAAAAATCCGCCGGCCCCCTTGCGGGGACACCAGGCTGCGAGGGTGAGGATTGCAGCTCCCTGTTCCAGTTGCAGTTTCCAGTTTCCACTGTTACAGTCCTGCTTTCTGCTTCCTTACTGTTAACAAATTATGCGACATTTGCGCCCCGAGGCCATAAACCTCGTAGATTACACAATAGTTGCGTCCCCGAAGCCACAAACCCTCGTAAATTACGCAATGTTCGCGTCCCCGAAGCCTTAAACCATCGCAAGTTATTTTATATTCGCGCCACCGAAACTAAAACTTCGTAAATCAATATTGGCCCTCGCGTGAAGTCCCCACATTGCTTCGCGTCAGCGTCCACACATCCCGACACAGCTCTGGCAAGTCCTATTCTAAGAGAGGGGGGCCGGCGGCATGGAGGCGAAGCCCTTACGGATAAGGTCACCGGGGGTCCCTTCCGAGGACTCACCCGACCTTGACTGCCTGGCCGATCGAGCAATCTATGATGAGCACGGAAAGGCATGGCCTGGAACCCCAGCTTTACGGGAATGGGCGAGCAAAGCTGCCAAACTGAAGAACATGCGAGGGTACCCATGTCCAGGTGGCACAAGAACGTGCACGAAAAACAAAGAACACGACGTAACCCCCCCCCCCAGCCGAGCACCGGTCAGGAGGCAGAGGATGAGGCTGAGGATCAGACGGTGAGGGTCAGAATGCTGAGGATGAGGATTGGAGCGGGGATGATGGCGATGCAGAGGATGAGAACGAGCAGAGGACGAGAACGAGGAGAAGCCGCTGGCCGAAGACGAGAATGAGGACGAGGACGCGCGGACGCGGGGAACAATGCCGAGAAGGAGAAGAAGAAGAAGAAGGCAGAGGCAGGGCGAAAAGGAGGGGGGAGAAAGGAAAGGGGCGAGCAAAAGCAGCGTCGAAAAGAGGGGCAGGAAAGCCCCGCCTTGGCCGCCGCGGCAGGCGGCGGATCCGCGACGCAGTCGCCCGCCGGGATGACGTGGCGAGGGAACACGGGGTCGATCTCGTCCAGGCGCATGCGTACCTGAGGAACAAGAGTGCACACATACCTCCTACGTGACAAGCTACATGTATGCAAAAAGCAGATATGTATAAGTGTGTGGGTCAGCACAGGATTATACTTATATATATACACATATATATATATATGTATGTATATATACAGGTGTGCATGTATGGATGTATGCATGCATGTATGTATATATGGATGGATGGATGGATGTCTGCCTGCATGTAAGTATGTATGTATGTGTGTACGGATGTGCATTGTACATGTGCATGTGTGCATTCATTCGTATACATCGCTATATGCATTATAGAGAAACACATAAATGTACCCATGCACGCGTGCATGCATGCACACATACATTCATGTATGTCTACACACCTACCTACATACATAAATGCATGCATACAAACATCCATACCTACATACATACATACACACATACATACATGTGCATACATACATACATGCATGCATACATGCATGCATGCATTCATGCATGTATACGTACGTACGTACACACACACACACGTACGTACGAACATACATGCATGCATGCATATATAGATGGATGCATGCACTCATGCATGCATGCATGCATGCTTACACACCTACATACATGCATGCATACATACACACACGTGCATACATACACACATACCTATATACAGACATCTACACGTACGTACATGCATGCAGACAGACAACCCTGCATACGCACATACCTATATACCGACACGAACACATACATGCATACATACATGCATACGTATACATGCATGCACACACATACATACAGGCAGACAGGCAGACACACACACACACACACACACACACACACGCACATACAGACATGCATACACATACACGTACAGCATACAGAAGTACAGACGTACATACATATGCATGCATACAGACATGCATGCATGCATACATAGAGACAGACAGACATACAAACGTACATACATGCATGCATGCGCGCATACAAGTACACATACATGTATGTATATACCGACCTACATGCATACAGGCATACACACATATATACAGACATACTTACTTGTCGTCATACATACATATGCATACATGCACACATACATCAATAAGCATACATGCGTACATCGTCATCCACAAAAGCTATACACACACAAACATACAGACATATACCTACATGCGCACATTTATACAGACGTGCATACGCCCATACGCCAACAATTAGACATGCATGCATGCATGCAGACAGGCAGGCAGGCATATATATACACATATATACACACAAACATACACCATACATGCATACATACATACATATATATATACACTAGAACCATCGCGCGAGCTTCGCGCGCGCTCAGGTTCTAGCCCAGGCCTGGGGGGCGCTGGACGATCTTGGACAACGATATCAAGCACAGGCGCGCGACGGCATCTGAGGAGCTTCTGGGGTGTTCCGCATGCTTCGTCAACTGGCTGTTGGAGGCACCTCTTGGGTGCTTCTTGGGGGGGCGTCTGAGGGTCCCTTGGGGGCATCGGTTCTGCAATCTGAAGCCGTCATTGGCCGTCTTGGCTGCGTGGAAGCCCGACTTGAGGCCACCTGCGGCCAGATTGAGGCAATCCGGAAGCCTCCCGGGGGCCTCCTGGAAGCAGTTTTGACGCATCGAGGGCACTCTTGGGCTATCTTAAAGCCTCTTGGACGTCTCCTAGGGGCCTCTTAGGCCCTCGGGAAGCTTTTGGGGTCCTCGTCGGACCACTTGGGGGCCTCTTGCGGCCTCCTGTGGGCCTTGTGGGGGGACCGATCTGCTGTTGGGTCGCGTTCCCCTTCTTGGGCCTCTCTTGGGGCTCTTGGGGCCCTCTCGGGCCGTCTTGGGCGCCTCAAGCACCGTCTTGGGGCCCTCGCGGGCCGTCTTGGGGCCCTCTTGGAGGCCTCTTCCTCTATATGGGAGCGGTATTGGAAGCCTCTTGGGCCGTCTTGGAGCATCGGGATGCCAAAAGGCCGAAAAAAATTAAAACCCGTCAAAGCCCAATCGTAAAACAATGAGTTGTGCCTCTTGGGGCCACCTTGGGAGATCTCTTGGAACCTCGTCGGCCCTCTTGGGAGCTTCTTGGGGGCCTCTTGGATCCGATTGGGGGCCTCTTGGGACTTCCCGAGAACCTCTCGGGGTAGAAAGCTCGGATTCTCGGTTCGTGTTTCCCTTCTTGGGCCTCTCTTGGGGCCGTCTTGGGGCCCTCTCGGGCCGTCTTGGGCGCCTCAGGCACCGCCTTGGGACCCTCGTGGGCCGCGCAGGGCCCTCTTGGAAGCCTCTTCAGCTATCTTGGAGCTGTCTGGGAGGCCTCTTCCTCCTCCTCGTCCCCCTCCTCCTCCTCCTCCTCCTCCCACTCCAACTCTCTTTCCTCCTGATCTTCCTTCTCCTCCTCCTCCTCCTCCTCCTCCTCCTGCAGCGTGTTCCGGAAGGCTCCCGCCGGAACATGCTGTGCACAAGTGCTGTCACTGCTCCCGCCACCGTGCCCTGGGTGGTGGGTCAGAGGCCTCATGGGTGTTGGTGTGGATCTCGTGGTTGGCCTGTCGGGGACGTCGTGAAGGCAGTTTCGCAGCTTCTCGGTAGCCGTTTTGGGACCGTTGTGGGGCCTCCTCGGGGCTGTTTTGTAGCCTCTTTAGGCCTCGTTTGGGCCTCCTGGGTGCCTCTTGGGGGCCTCCTGGGGCCTCTTGGGGGCTCCTTGGGGCCTCCTGGGGCACTCTTCAAGCGGGAGGGTCGAATTTTGGAGTCGTGGTCCCCCTCTTGGGCGCATCTTGGGGCCGTCTTGGGGCTCTGTTGGGCTGTCTTGGGCGACTCTGGGGCCGTCTTGGGGCCCTCTTGGGCCGTCTTGGGGCGCCCTTGGGGGCCTATTGAGCCGTCTTGGAACGTCGGACAGCCGAAAAGGCTGGCAGGCCAAAATCGTTCGAAAACCTTCGTACAATTGACGATTTCGGCCTCTGGAAGCGCTCTGGAGAGGCGTCTTGAAGCGTCGTGGAGTGCCTTGGGGGGCCTCTCGGGCCGTCTTGGGCCTATCTTGGGCGTCCTGGAGCGGTCTTTCGGCGACTCGGGGCCCGCTTGGGCCATCTTGGGAGCCTCTGGAGGCCCTCCTGGACTATTTTGGACCTCCCCGGCCGCCCCGTCCTCCCATGGGGGGTCGGAGGCGGCGGCCTCAGAGGCCCAGGACGCGGAAACCCTGTAAAACACACGGAAAATGAGCCCCGGTACCCCCATGGCGGCTCTTCGGCGCTCTTGGACCGTTGGAAGCTCGAAAACGCGAGAAGCCAAAAACATTGAAAAGACCATTGAACATATACGACTTTGGCCTCTTCGGGCCGTACCGTGATACCTATCAGACTTCTTGGGGTCTCTTGGAGGCCACCTGGAAGCCTCGAGAGCCGTCGGAAGGCTGACTTGGGCTGCTCGGGAGCGTCTTGGGCCATCCTTTCGCATTCTGGGGGCTCCTGGGGGGCGTCTTGGGCCCTCCTGGAGCGCTGTGGAGGCTGCCGGAAAGGCTGGGGCAGCGGTGCCGGGAGCGTCCCCGAGATGTGGCCATATCTTTTCAGCGCGTTCCGGGAGCATCTTCCCGGAACGCGCTCGTGGCAGGGCGCCCACGTCCGAGGACGTTGGCATGGGAAACCGCAGCGCGTGATCATTCCAGCGCGTTCCAGCGAAGACCGTCCGGAACGCGCTTGGGCAAGCGCTGGGTTTGGGGAAGGCGAGTGGAGACCGTTCAGGCAGTTTGGGATGCTCGGGGCAAGAGGCGGAAGCCATCCTCATAAGACATGCAGTCTTCCTGGAGCCGTCTTGCAGAAAACACAGAAAAACTGAGACCCTGCAGTCGTTCCTGGAGCCGTCTTGGAGCCCTCTTGGGCTGCCCTGGAGCCTGTTGGAGGCCTCTGCGGAATGGTCTTGGAGCCCGCGCCGAGGATCTGGAAAATGTCCGGGAGCATCGCGGCGGCCTTCGAGGCCCGGGACGCCGAAACCGCGTAAAAGCACAGCGAAAATGAGCCCCGGTACTGGAGGGTCGGGCAGCTGTTTTCGGGCCCCTGGGCTAGAACCATCGCGCGCGCTTCGCGCGCGCTCAGGTTCTAGCCCAGGCCAGGGGGGCGCTGGACGATCTTGGACAACGATATCAAGCACAGGCGCGCGACGGCATCTGAGGAGCTTCTGGGGTGTTCCGCATGCTTCGTCAACCAGCTGATGGAGGCACCTCTTGGGTGCTTCTTGGGGGGGCGTCTGAGGGTCCCTTGGGGGCATCGGTTCTGCAATCTGAAGCTTTCATTGGCCGTCTTGGCTGCGTGGAAGCCCGACTTGAGGCCACCTGCGGCCAGATTGAGGCAATCCGGAAGCCTCCCGGGGGCCTCCTGGAAGCAGTTTTGACGCATCGAGGGCACTCTTGGGCTATTTTAAGCCTCTTGGACGTCTCCTAAGGGCCTTCTAGGCTCTCGGGAAGCTTTTGGGGTCCTCGTCGGACCACTTGGGGGCCTCTTGCGGCCTCCTGTGGGCCTTTTGGGGGGACCGCTCTGCTGTTGGGTCGCGTTCCCCTTCTTGGGCCTCTCTTGGGGCTCTTGGGGCCCTCTCGAGCCGTCTTGGGCGCCTCAAGCACCGTCTTGGGGCCCTCGCGGGCCGTCTTGGGGCCCTCTTGGAGTCCTCTTCCTCTATATGGGAGCTGTATTGGAAGCCTCTTGGGCCGTCTTGGAGCATCGGGATGCCAAAAGGCCGAAAGAATTAAAACCCGTCAAAGCCCAATCGTAAAACTATGAGTTGTGCCTCTTGGGGCCACCTTGGGAGATCTCTTGGAACCTCGTCGGCCCTCTTGGGAGCTTCTTGGGGGCCTCTTGGGTCCGATTGGGGGCCTCTTGGGACTTCCCGAGAACCTCTCGGGGTAGAAAGCTCGGATTCTCGGTTCGTGTTTCCCTTCTTGGGCCTCTCTTGGGGCCGTCTTGGGGCCCTCTCGGGCCGTCTTGGGCGCCTCAGGCACCGCCTTGGGACCCTCGTGGGCCGCCCAGGGCCCTCTTGGAAGCCTCTTCGGCTATCTTGGAGCTGTCTGGGAGGCCTCTTCCTCCTCCTCGTCCCCCTCCTCCTCCTCCCACTCCAACTCTCTCTCCTCCTGATCTTCCTCCTCCTCCTCCTGCAGCGTGTTCCGGAAGGCTCCCGCCGGAACATGCTGTGCACAAGTGCTGTCACTGCTCCCGCCACCGTGCCCTGGTGGTGGGTCAGAGGCCTCATGGGTGTTGGTTTGGATCTCGTGGTTGGCCTGTCGGGGACGTCGTGAAGGCAGTTTCGCAGCTTCTCGGTAGCCGTTTTGGGACCGTTGTGGGGCCTCCTCGGGGCTGTTTTGTGGCCTCTTTAGGCCTCGTTTGGGCCTCCTGGGTGCCTCTTGGGGGCCTCCTGGGGCCTCTTGGGGGCTCCTTGGGGCCTCCTGGGGCACTCTTCAAGCGGGAGGGTCGAATTTTGGAGTCGTGGTCCCCCTCTTGGGCGCATCTTGGGGCCGTCTTGGGGCTCTGTTGGGCTGTCTTGGGCGACTCTGGGGCCGTCTTGGGCCCTCTTGGGCCGTCTTGGGGCGCTCTTGGGGCCTATTGAGCCGTCTTGGAACGTCGGACAGCCGAAAAGGCTGGAAGGCCAAAATGGGTCGAAGACCTTCGTCAATTGACGATTTCGGCCTCTGGAAGCGCTCTGGAGAGGCGTCTTGACGCGTCGTGGAGTGCCTTGGGGGCCTCTCGGGCCGTCTTGGGCCTATCTTGGGCGTCCTGGAGCGGTCTTTCGGCGACTCGGGGCCCGCTTGGGCCGTCTTGGGGGCCTCTGGAGGCCCTCCTGGACTATTTTGAGCCTCCCTGGCCGCCCCGTCCTCCCATGGGAGGTCGGAGGCGGCGGCCTCCGAGGCCCAGGACGCGGAAACCCTGTAAAAACACAGGGAAAATGAGCCCCAGTCCCCCCATAGGGGGGTCGGGGCACCTGTCCTTGGGCCCCCGGCCTCGCCCCCAGGGATATATATATATATATATATATATACATACATACATACATACATACATACATACATACATACATACATACATACATACATACATACATACATACATACACACATACATACATACATACATACATACATACATACATACATACATATATTACAAACATACATACATACATACACACACACATACATACATACATACATACATACATACATACATACATACATGCATACATACATACATACATACTATACATACATACATACATACATACGTACACACACATACATACACACATACATACATACAGACATACAACATACATACTACACACACACATACAATACAAATACATACATACATACATACATACATACATACATACATACACAATACCAGACATACATACATACATACATACATTCATGCATGATTGCATGCATGCCATGCATGCATACATGTCATGCATTCAGCATGCATGCATGCATGCATACATACATACATAACATACATACATACAATACATGCATGCAGGGCATGCATGCATGCATGCATGCATGCATGCATGCATACATACATACATACGTACATACATACATACATACATACATACATACATACATACATACATACATACATACATACATACATACATACACACACATACATACATACCTAATTGTACCTCCATCGGTGTATAGACACATATACATACATATTGAACTACAGACATCCACATCGCACACCCACCGCAGAGCCTCCGCAGGCACATCCATGGGGCCCGAGCCTGCCTCCCGGGAGCCCCAGAGGCCGATGCCATCCGAGGCCGGGGACCCCAGAGGGCCAGAAGGGGGCCAGCGGAGGGGCCAGCCGTGCCGGGTGAGTACGACTGGCTCGCGGCGCGACGTCGCGGGCGTTGGCTGCCGACGACACGTGGACCCTTCGACCTCTGGAACGATCGCGGCTCTCCGGCCGCGCAGATCGCGCGGCGGCGCTCGGGCTGGAGCGCCCGCGCCGGGGTCGCCAACCGCGGCAGTGTGGCACGGGCGCTGCTCGGCGCGTCGCGGCGGCGGCCCGGGCGACACGCCGCGCCCTGCGAGCTGGCGGCGCGTCGCGCCGCCTCGCGGGGCGAAGAGGGGCTTTTGGGGGGCGCGGACGCTCGGGAGCCGAGAGACGTGGTGGGCGCGGCGCGCCGAGGCGTGGCGGGCCGGAGCTGGCGGCGCGACTTTTTTGGTCGGCGGGTCGGGAGGAAGGAGGAGGAGGAGGAGGAGGAGGGAGGACGGAGGAGGAGGAGGAGGAGAGAGGAGGAGGTAGGAGGAGAGGCGGGACTAGAGAGGAGAGAAGAAGGAGGAGGAGAGAGGAGGAGGAGGAGGAGAAGGAGCGAGGAGGAGAGCGAAGGAGGAGGAGGAGGAGGAGGAGGAGGAGGAGGAGGAGGAGGAGGAGGAGGAGGAGGAGGAGGAGGAGGAGGAGGAGGAGGGAGGAGGAGGAGGAGGAGGAGGAGGAGCTAGGCGGGGCGCGCGAAGCACTCATTGGGGAGACAGGGCGCGGGCGGGCGGGGCCTCAGGCGGCCGGAGAGTGCGGGCCTGGCGGCGCGGCACGCCACGCAGAGGCTCAAGGCCGAGCTTTCCCACTGCTGGCATGGCGTCGTGCCAGCACCACGACGACGTGACAGCAAGCAAAGATGACTGGGGCCCTGGGCGCCGTCTCTAAAAGCAGATTCTCCAGCACGGGCCGAGCCCGAAAAGAGGGCCCCCCGGGGCCAAGAGCGGGGCGAACAAAAGGGCGGCGCGCGCATGTGGTCTTCTGGCGACGCCCAGCGCTTGAGAATCTCCCGGGCGCCATGCCCGACTCGTAGAGGTTCAGCTTCAGGAGCAGGTGGGGCTCGGCCTGAAAGGGGGCGAGGGGGGGAGGGGCGCCGGGAGCGCGCCCTCCTGGAAGGGGTCGAGAAGGAGCGCTGGATGAACGCTGCAGGAGCAGATGAGGAGGAGCAGGAGGAGGGGGGGGGAGGGGGAGGAGTAGAGCAAGGAGCGGAGAAGAGAAGGTTCGGAGGAGGAGCGGATGGGCGCTGAAGGAACACAAAAAGAGGAGGAAAAGTAGGAGGAGGAGGAGGAGAGCAAGGAGCGGAAGAGGGAAGGAGAAGAAGCCGAGGGGAGATGCCAGGAGAGGAGGGGGATAAGGGGAGGAGGAGAGAGAGAGAGAGAGAGAGAGATTGAGAGAGAGAGAGAGATGATAGACCCCGACATCTGACGTTGCGTAAAAGTACGACGTCGCGAAAAATCACTACTGGAGCCCTAGACTCATTCTTTCTGCGGCATTATTTCGAGCCTGATCGATACGTGGTGGCCCTGGGGCGCGAGACCAGGCCAAAACGCCGGGTGTTGAAAAATCGCAACGTCCGGATCTCAGGTTCCTGCCTCCTCGCCCAGGCCAGATCCGCTCAAATCCTCTTCAACTCTGTCCCTGGACCCTTTCTGGAGCCCATCCTGACCCGCTCTCCGAGGCGGATCCAGTCATGGCGACGAGGACACTCCCGCGCAGCCGCTCGGACGTCCATTCCTCGTGCATCTCAAGTTTCGCGCGTGTATTTGCTCGCAAGATGTCCAAAGTGCGCCTGGATGATGCACACGTCAGAGCGGTGCCAAGGACTCCAGGCTCCCCCAGAGAGACGGAAAAACGCCAGGGATGGCCGCTGTTGTCTCGACGGGCCCTCCTCCCTCGTCCCGCCTCCCTCCTCCTCCTCCTCCTCCTCCTCCTCCTCCTCCTCATCATCATCATCATCATCATCATTATCATCATCATCAGCATCATGATCATCATCATCCCCCTCGTCCTCCTCCTCCCCCTCCTCCTCCTCCGAGGGAGAGAGAGAGAGAGAGAAGGAGAGAGAGGGAGAGAGAGAGAGAGGAGGGGAGCAGAAAGCAAGGCGGAGGGGGAGGCGCCAGGCCTCCGCACTGTGCTTCACCGCCCAGCCGAAGCCGCCGTCGGGCAACGTGTGCTTAGAGGCCGGCAGCACCGACCAGAGCGCCTCTGGTGAGCGGGCCGGTGCCGACGGGAACGGCCCCTCCCCCCGTGCCGACGGGAGGGGGAAGGACAGCGCCAGGGGGGAAAGGCTCGGGGAGAGAACGTTTTCGAAGTTTTCAACGGTTTTCGCTGGTTCTCGACGGCTTTCCAGCCTCGGGGTACCATTCCATCTGCTGCGCTTCGCCGAGAGGGTTCCGAGCGAGCCCGAAACGTCCCGTGCGGCCGCCGGAGAGCCGAGCTGTGACCCGAAAGCCAGAGGAGGACCCCCCACCTCCTCGCGCGGTGCAAATAAAACGCCACAGGCTTTCTGCGATGTTCGGCCTCCGCGAGCCCTCGCAGAGCTCCCGGACCGTGAAAAAACGGCTCGGGGTGAAGAGCGGGTCCCAGGGAATGGGTTCCGACCTCAGGGCGGCCCCAGTGCTTAAAAAAGCGCGACGTCGGAGTTCTGGGTCCCACCCTCTTGGCCTCTCCCCTGAGAAGGCGGCTCGCGGCACGGGGGTGGAGGGGCGAGGAGGAGGAGGAGGAGGTAGGAGGAGGAGGAGGAGGAGGAGGAGGAGGAGGAGGAGGAGGAGGAGAAGAGGGAGGAGGAGGAGGAAGAGGAGGAGGAGGAGGAGGAGGTAGACGAAAATGGGGGGGGGGGGCCTGCTCACTGGTGCCTGGGCGCGCGATCCACTTCTTGAAGCGGCGGCAAAAGGAGCCCTGCTCGCATGTCCTGCGGAGTCCTCCTCCTCCTCCTCCTCCTCCACCTCCTTCTCCTCGTACTCCTAGTCATCATCATCATCATCATCATCATCATCATCATCATCATCATCATCATCATCATCATCATCATCATCATCATCATCATCATCATCATCATCATCATCATCATCATCATCATCAGCCGCATCATCAGCATCATCAGCATCGGCATCAGCATCCTTATGATAGTAATCACCATCAACAGCATCACAAGTGAAAACAACAACAACAACAACAACGACAACAACAATCACGACAACGACAACGACAACGACAACGACAGCAGCAACAACAACGAAAACCAAAAGCAAACAACAACTACCTTGACTACAACAACAACATTAACAACAACCACAACAACAACAACAACCACAACAACAACAACAACAGCAGCCGTAACAGCAAAAACAACGACGAACAACATTACTATCAACACCAACATCAGCATCAACGTCATCAACCGCATTAGCATCATCATCAGAAGCATCGTCATCATGTTCATCCTCATCCTCCTCCCCCATCCTCATCATCATCCGCCTCATGCTGCTGTTCCCTCTCTTCCTTCTCCTTCTCCTACGCAGCCTCGAACTCCTCCTCCTCGTTCTCCTCCCACATCGTCATATTCCGTGTTCTCCTCCTCCTACTCATCTTCCTCCTCATCCTCCTCCTCCTTATCATATCATCATCATCATCATCATCACCATCATCATCAGCAAAATCATCAACCTCATCATCATCATCATCACCACCATCATCAGCATCATCATCATCAACATCATCATCATCATCATCATCATCATCATCATCATCATCATCATCATCATCATCATCATCATCATCGTCACAAACACCACCACCATCAGCAGCAGCATCATCCTCATCATCTCCCCACCACCACCACCACTACCACCACTACCACCACTAACACCATCATCATCGTCATCATCAGCATCAGCAGCATCGTCATCATCTGATCATCATCGAATCAGCATCATCATCTGCAGCATCATCATCAGCATCATCATAACCACCGGCATCGTCAGCATCATCATCATCAGCAGCATCAGCATCAGCAGCATCATCATCATCATCATCAGCGCCAGCAGCATCCTCCTCACCATCATCACCACCATTATCAACGACGGCAGCATAGGCACCAGCATCACCATCATCACCAGCATCGCTCGCATTCATCACCATCATCGTCGTCACCAGCATCCTCAGCATCATCGTCTTCGTCAGCATCATGGTCACCATCCTCATCATCATCATCATCATCATCATCATCATCATCATCATCATCATCCACATCAGCATCATCAGCATCATCATCGTCGTCGTCGCCGACGCCACCATCGTCGTGGTCCTCATCGTCATCAACCGTCTCTACCTTCTCCTCCCCTCCTCATTCTTCTGCTTCTCCTCCTCCTGCTCTCCCTCCTCCTCCCCCCCTCCTCTTCCTCCTCCCCCTCCGCCTCCTCCTCCTTCTCCTCCACTCCGCTTCCGCTTCCCCCTTCTTCCTGCTAATCATCCTCCCTCCTCCTCCTCCTCCAACTCCTCCTCCGCCTCCTCATCTTTCTCAGCCTGGTCGTCATCAACATCACCAGCAACACAACGCAAACAACATACACACCATGCATCAGCAGCAGCAGCCTCGCCAGCAGCATCACACTTGCTTTTATTCCGCCTCCTCCTCCTCCTCCTCTTCCTCTTCCTCCTCCGCCTCACCCTCCTCCTCCTCCTCCTCCTCCTCCTCCTCCTCCTCCTCCTCATCCTACCCTTCTTCTTCTTATGGTTCTTCCTATCCCTCCTCCTCCTCCTCCTCCTCCTCATCATCATCATCACCATCATCATCATCATCATCATCATCATCATCATCATCATCATCATCATCATCATCATCATCATCATCATCATCATCATCATCATCATAATCATCATCATCATCATCATCATCATCATCATCATCATCATCATCATCATCATCATCATCATCATCATCATCATCATCATCATCATCATCATCATCATCATCATCATCATCATCATCATCATCACCTCCTCCTTTCATCTTCCTCCTCCTACTCCTCCTCCTCCTCCTCATCCTTGTCATCTTCCTCCAGATCCTCCTCATCCTCATCATCATCATCATCAGCATCAGCATCAGCATCAGCATCAGCATAAGCATCATCATCAGCAGCATCATCATCAGCATCATCATCACAATCAGCATCGTCATCATCATCATCATCATCAGCATCATCATAATTATCGCCATCAGCATCGTCAGCATCATCATCAGCATCAGCATCAGCATCATCATCTGCGTCAGCATCATCATCGTCGTCATCCTCGACATCCTCCTCCGCCTCACCATCATCACATGAATCAGCATCACCGTCAGCATCAAAATCATCATCAGGATGATCAACATCCAGACCATCATCATCATCAGCATCATCATGATCACCATAATCATCATCAGCATCATCATCATGATCACCGTTGTCATCAGCAGCATCGTCATCATCATTGACAATACCTGGAGCAGCATCATCACCACCATCATGATCGTCGTCAGCATCGTAATCGGCAGCATCACTACCACCAGCATCATCATCACAACCATCACCGGAACCATCATCATCAGCATCAGCATGATCACCATCATCATCAGCAGCAGCAGCATCATCATCATCATCATGACCAGCATCATCATCGTGATCATCGTCAGCATCATCATCATCATCATCATCATCATCATCATCATCGTCATCATCATCATCATCATCATCATCATCATCATCATCATCATCATCATCATCATCGTCATCATCATCATCATCATCATCATCGTTATCACCATCAACATCATCGTTCCCATCATTCTGCTCCCCCTCACCTTCCTTCTCCGCCTGCTCCTCCTCATCTTCATCCTCCCCCTTCTCCCGCTCAATCATTATCGTCCTTTCCGTCCACATCATCCTCTTCCTCATCCTCCTAATCATCCGTGCCATCATCATCACCATCATCATCAACATAATCAGAATCATCATCATCATCATCATCATCATCATCATCATCATCATCATCATCATCATCATCATCATCATCGGCATCATCATCATGATCATCATCATCAGCAGCATCGTCATCATCATTAACAGCATCAGGGGCAGCATCATCACCGAAATTATGACTGTCATCAACATCGTCATCGGCAGCATCACTACCACCACCAGCATCATCACTATCATCACCAGAATGATCATCATCATCATCATCAACATCATCATAACCATCATCATCAGCATCATCAGCATGATCGCCATCATCATTATCATCATCATCATCACCATCATAATCATCATCATCATCATCATCATCATCATCACCTTCATCATCATCATCAACTTCATCGTCATCATCAGCATCAGCATCAGCATCACAATCATCATCTACATCAGCAGCATCATCATAGTCATTACCATCGTCATGGTCAGCGTCGTCGCCCTCGTCGTCAACCGCCTCCACCCTCCCATCCCCCCCCCTCCTCTCTCTCCTCCGCCTGCCCCTCCTCCTCCTCATCCTCCCTCCACCTCTGCTTCCCCCATTCCTCCTGTTAAGCGTCCGTCCTCCTAATCACCCTCGCCCGTCTCCTTCGCATCCTCCTCGTCGCCATCAGCATCAGAATCATCATCATCATCATCATCATCATCATCATCATCATCATCATCATCATCATCATAATCATCATCATCATCATCATCATCATCCTCAACATCATCATCATCATCATCATCAGCATCAGCAGCATCATCATCATCATCGGCATCACCATCATCATCATCATCATCATCATCATCATCATCAACATCAACATCAACATTACCAGCATCACCACCAACAACAACCAAACTCCGCACCAAAATCAGCAGCATGAACGTCATCCTCATCGTCGTCATCATCATCATATGCATCAGCAGCATCATCCACATCATCAGCATCCTCATTACCCTTATCACGATCATCATCATCAGCATCATCATCATCGTCATCATTACCATTGTCATCGTCATCATCCTCATCGCATACACGATCGCCGCCTGACCATCATCACTATCATCATCATCATCAGCAGCAGCATCATCCTCAGCATCACCATCATCATCATCGCCGTCGTCGCCAGTGCCATCATACTTAGAAACAGTACCAGTATCAGCGTCGGCATCATCCTCAGCAGCATCATTATCATCAGCAGCAGCATCATCAGCATCATCATGGTCGTTACCATCACCATCATCATCCTCATCGTTAGCAGCCTCATTGGCATCATCATCATCATCATCATCATCATCATCATCATCATCATCATCATCATCATCAGCAGCAGCAGCAGCATCTTCGTCGTCAGCATCATCATCAGGAACCGCCTCCTAATTCTTTGCCTGCGCTTGCTCCTCCTCCTCATCCTCATCCTCCTCCACCCCCTCGTTCCCTTCCCCCGTCAGACAAAAATCCGTGACCTCATTCTCTTTACCTTCCTTATCATCCTCGTCGTCATCATCATCAGCAGCAGCATCAGCATCGTCACTATCGCCATCATCATCATGGTCACATCATCATCATCGTCATCATCATCATCAGCAGCAGCAGCACCACCACCATCATCACCACCATCATCAGCACCATCAAAAACCGCATCAACGACAACAACATCAGCATCATCGTCGTCATCATCAGCATCAGCATCAGCATCAGCATCATCACCACCATCATCAACAACATCACCATCAGCATCATCACCACCACCAAAATCAGCAGTAGCAGCATCAGCCTCAACATCAGCGTCAGCATCAGCATTATCATCAACATCAGCAGCAACATCAGCATCGGCATCACCACCATGGTCCGTGAAGTCAGCATCAGCATCATCGTCATCGTTAATATCATCATGCTCATCATCATCATCATCATCATC